AGATGATCTGTCTGTGTGTGTGAGTGTGTGTGTGTGTAGATGATCTGACTGTGTGTGTGAGTGTGTGTGTGTGTAGATGATCTGACTGTTGATGTGTGTGTTCTGCTCTCTTTCAGTCTTGCTGGCTGTAATCTCTCTGCTCAGTGTTGTGAGAGTTTATCATCAGCTCTACAATCCTCAAACTCTGTCCTGAGAGAGCTGGATCTGAGTAACAGTCACCTGCAGGACTCTGATGTAGAGTTTATTTCTGATGGACTGAAGAGTCCAAACTGTCAGCTGCAGATACTGAGGTATTAAGAACATATAAGAGATAATGTGGGATCTGTGTCTATATAAATTATTGATGGTGTGGTCAGTATAAAGTGAATGGGAGGATTTGTGACACAGATGTGGAGATTTTGTATTTGGCTCTGAGACATTTCTACCTGCTCAGGGAATGTGGATGTGTTCTGGTGGTGGTTATTTATCAGGGTTTCCGTGGGGTCTTAAAAGGTCTTACATTTAGTTGTATCAAATTTAAGGCCTTAAAAAGTCTTAATTATGATTTTAGGAGGTCTTAAATGTGGATATGGAAAGACAAATGTGAAAATCGACCCATGTTTTTACCCTGCAAACACACAGAGCTTTAAATGTGAACTGGTGGATCGATAAGAAGACAATGCATTATAAAAGTCTAAACAGTAGGGTGTGCGATATATATGGCCTGCGATAATATCGTAATTGTTGTTTTAACGATGTGCGATTCGACATTATCAAGTACATTGTGAAAAGCAAACAAAACACACCTCGGTTCAATCACAATGACTCCCTCATTAACAGTGACTTGCTGCCACCTACTGGCGGTTTTAATTTCACATTTAAAGTATCTTTTAATTTTTTTAAAAATAATTTCAAACATGAGTTTTCAATGTTTTATGTTTAAAATATCAAAACATTATTAATGCATTTGTAACTGCAGGTTAAAGTATTGCATGTCCCTCTGAGCTGCATTAAACAGTGTGTAAATGCATCTAAACGCCTCTCAGATGCAGCTTCTGTGTTTCCTCTGCATTACAAAGATACATTTAGTTGATACTGCTTTCATTTGCTTGGTAACAGCCCAAATGACAGAAAGGAGCACCAGAGGGTTAAAGCTAGGGGTGTGCGATATATATCGTCTGCGATAATATCGCAATTGTTGTTTTAACGATGTGCGATTTGACTGAGTATTTTGCAAAAACCATTCAAAACACACCTACAGAGTGCACGCATACATTACGTGAAGTCTAGACTAGTGCCTGTACATTAGAGTGCGCTTTCATTTGCTCGGTAACAGCCCATATGTTTTTTATTATTAGAATTTGACTCAAAAGATGATGCACACTTTTAGAACAAATGGCTTAAAGGTAAAAATGCCCATAAAACTTGATTCTTTTTAAAAAAAAATATATATTTTTTTAATTTCAAGAGTCAGCTGTCCACGGAAGCCCTTAAGATACCAGCACATTAACACACTCAGCAAAATATCCTCTAATTATCGTTATCGATAAAATCCCAGAAAATTATCGAGATATCGTTTTTTTTGTCAATGTCGTAAACCCCTAATTTGTTATTTAATTTATATAATAATTTATTGATAATAATTGTTTAAATTAATATAGTGATTAATACTTTCGACTCATCCATTTTCTTAAATGCTTTAAAGGCTGAAATGTAAAGTTTATCATTTTATTAACCTTTTTGTTTTTGTGAAAACTTGTATCTGAACTGTAAATTTTTTACTATATGTATTTACTACACTATACTATAATATATTAAGGATATAACAATGCTGGGGTTTAAGCAGTATGTAAAAGGGCAAACAAAGAAGAGTAACTTGCTGGATAAGTGTTTTGTAAATGTGCTCGGGACAGCTGTGTGCGTTCTCACTGAACCTCACCTGGTGAGGGTATAACGCTCGGGACAGCTGTGTGCATTCTCACTGAACCTCACCTGGTGAGGGTATAACGCTCAGACAGCTGTGTGCATTCTCACTGAACCTCACCTGGTGAGGGTATAACGCTCTGGACAGCTGTGTGCATTCTCACTGAACCTCACCTGGTGAGGGTATAACGCTCGGGACAGCTGTGTGAGAAGACTATGAAGACTATTTTACATTTTATTACTTTATTCATTTCTGTACCTGCAAACTTCTTTTAGAGCTACCTGAAAAACCTGAAAAGCACTGTTGACTACATTTGTGTCTTGTGTCTGCTATTGCTTGTAATTTGGAAAAGATTCTTAGCACTTAGCCCTGCATGTCTGAAAGAGACCCAGACTGCCATGAATAGTAGCAGCCAAAAAAATTAGTTTAGTTTTAAATTAACTTCTCAAAGCAAATTTAGTTTTAAGAGCTTTATTTTTGTAATGTCTTTTTGTATATTTATTTTTTGAAATATCATTGCACATTTTAGCACACCTTCTCACATTTTGTATGAGGAATATCCATTTTTGCCTTCAAACACAAGGCTTAGAGTTGCCTCTGCTAGATTGAACAGATTATGTAAATTCTTTGTTTATCAGTCTGTAAAATTAATCAATCAGAATTGGGGGTCTAAGTAGGCCTCTGGGCTCTGGAATATAGAAAGGACTATACTAATGCACTGTAGCTGTGTGTTTACGTATTTATATTGTTGTTGTTTTTTTGTATTAAGTTATGTCTATTTTACTGTTTGGTTATTAATTGGTGTGGAAGTGTATTAATGTGAGACAGTACACGCTGTGAGATGCAAGACCATTTTTGGTAGAGATTCCAACAATAAAGTGTAATTGAGTTGAATTGAATGTAGTTAGCGGGTCATAATGTTGATGTGTGTGTGTGTAGATGATCTGACTGTTGATGTGTGTGTTCTTGTCTCTTTCAGTCTTGCTGGCTGTGATCTCTCTGCTCAGTGTTGTGAGAGTTTGTCATCAGCTCTACAATCCTCAAACTGTGTCCTGAGAGAGCTGGATCTGAGTAACAGTCACCTGCAGAACTCTGGTGTAAAGTTTATTTCTGATGGACTGAAGAGTCCAAACTGTCAGCTGCAGATACTTCTGTGTGTGTGTGTGTGTGTGTCTGTAGATGATCTGTCTGTGTTTTTCTGTAGATTATCTTATTGTGTGTGTCTGTAGATGATCTGTGAGTGTCTGTAGATGATCTGTGTGTGTCTGTAGATGATCTGTGTGTCTGAGCTACAATCACCCAGGACACTCAGGAGTCCAGCTGCTCAAACACAAACTGCAGGATCCAAACTATAAACTGCAGATACTCAAGTATGTCCTACACTAATACTGACATACGTGTGTGTGAATGATGCAGATCTACATTTGTGTGTGTTTGTGTGTTTATAGTGTGGATCATGGAGGAGAGAAGAGGATGACAGCAGGACCACGAAAGTGTAGGTCCACACACACACACACACACACACACACACACACACACACACACACACACACACACACACACACACACACACGTTTGTTTTTGTGAAAAGTGGGGACTCTCCATAGGCGTAATGGTTTTTATACTGTACAGACCGTATATTCTATTGCCCTACACCAACCCTACCCCTAAACCTACCCCTTACAGGAGACTTTGTGCTATTTCAGATTTTCAATACACTCCATTCTGTGTGATTTATAAGCTTGTTTCCTTGTGGGGACCAAAAAAATGTCCCCACAAGGTCAAAATTTACTGGTATTGCTATACTTGTGGGGACATTTGGTCCCCATAACGTGAGAAATACCAGGTACACACACACACACACACACACTCTCTCACACACACAGACACACACGCGCACAGACACACACACACACACACTTGGTTGTGTGAACTCATCTCAAAGACGTTCATTGTTTTTTCTCTCAGGTTAATGATATCTTCTGTGCCATAAACAGACATCACAGAAACCTGTGCAAAACACTAGATTTACAGAGAAACATGATTTGTCCAGTTTATCAGTCTTTTTTAACTAGTTAGCAGTGCCGGTCACTTTGCTCACAAAGATGATTTAAATAGTGTCACTACATAACAGTAATATGTGGATTCAGCTTTAGAGTCATGTGGAAATATCTTTCTTTTAATACATTAGGATTTATATTTATTGAATGTAGGGCTGCCCCCTAATAGTTGACCAATCGTTAGTCGACCAGAAGAGGCTGATTCAGAGTCTGATCTCTCAGTATTTCCAGTTAGTTATTAATGTTACATCTCAACAATAGTGACAATCAACAAAAAGCTTTTGTGTGAATCTAGAAGGTTGTTTTGTGACATTCAGAGTTGATCTGTTTATCAGAATATTTTGTCACTATTGTTGAGATTCATGCGCTGGTTCTTGATGTGTGTCTTGATTCTATGTGTGTCTGAATGACAGTCAAAATATTATCTGCATAATTGTTAAATCTTTCAGAACATCACAGCACTGCCATGTAAAATTAATAACTAACTCTTGATGTCTCTGTGGATCTAAAACACAGTTCAGTGCATTTTCTTTATATTGACCTAAAAAAATCGGAACATATTATTGGCACAATACAGATGCCAAAATATCAGAAAGCTGCAGCAAATAATTATAAAATAGCAGTTAATGAAAGCTAGCTTCTTAATAATGTATTGCTGATGACCAATGTTCCCTCTAAGCTGCGCGCAGAAGAAATAATATCCCACACAAGAATGAGTTGGGAAAGACATTTGATTGAGTGTTTTATACATTTACATTTTACATTTACATTTAGTCATTTAGCAGACGCTTTTATCCAAAGCGACTTACAATTGGGGGATACATAAAGCGATTCTTCTTAAAGAGCCAAACACACGAAGTGCTTGTAATACCAAGTTTCTAGACATTGTTCAAATAAGTACAAGCTAGAAAGAGAAGGAATAAATAAAGAGATATAATTGTTTTTTTTTTAATAATTTTTTTTTATGATGATGATGAAGTCAAGTAGCTTCGAAAGAGATGAGTTTTCAGCTGTCGCTTGAAGATTGTCAGGGATTCAGCGTTCCGGATAGCGGTGGGAAGATCGTTCCAGCAGCCGGGAACAGTGAACGAGAATGTGCTGGACAGTGATTTTGAGCCTCTCTGTGATGGTACCACGAGGCGTCGCTCACTAGCGGATCTCAGACTTCTGAAGGGGATGTAGATTCGTTGTAGTATAATGCGTAGTATACGTATATAGTAGTAGTATAATAATATAGTATAATATAATATAATTATATGCATGAGATTTTTTACAATGATTTTTTAATATAATTTCATGGTAACACAGCAGTGTAGAAAATGTTTTCTCAGGTAACCTAAAATCTGCATCATTTATTTCCATCAAGAGTCAAATCAAATATAAACAGCACATTAAAGTTAAAAGTTACACACTTTTGTGTGCGCTGTGCAGCTCTGGTTTAAAGAATGTTTTTGCTCAGGTGACCGAAATATCTTCCTAATAGAGAACAGTTTTGCTCAGCAAGAAAACAAAATAGAATTAAATTAAATTAGAATTAAAATTGTTAGTTAGTGAAGGTGTTTGATTGTAAAACTGCACAAAATACCTGTAAAACAACAGTTTAAACTATTTTCAACACGAAATAGAGCAAAATCAGACAATAGTGTTATAGTCAGACAATGTAAGTCACTTAATATTAACTTCTTGTTTATTGAATTGTATTGTATTAAATCAGTATCACATTTACAAACTCCCTTAAAAGTCATTAAAAGCTGTCACTCATCAATCAACGAAGCTCTACACTGCGCGATGAATCTCTTATTTACTCCGTCTACATTTTGCTTATGAAGGATTGGTGAGATATGTATGATGATTATCTGGTCAGTCACACTGGTGCTCCTAAAAATGTCATAGTCGCACGCAGTAGTTTTCAGTCGCAAATGCAACTGAAATGGTCGCACCGTAGAGCCCTGCATCTAAACTTTTCTAAAGACAGTAAGTTCCCCTCAGACATGGATTCATAAACTACCCCTAAATGAATCGCGATTTGTTTAGCATCTCAACCGATTTGAATCGTCACATATTTGAATTGATTTTCAACCGGCTCGCGGTTAATCGTTACATCTCTAGCATTTACGCATCTGTGTTCATACGGCTGGAGCAACACGTAGTCTAGATCATGCCACTTAATTAATCGCTCTGAGGACACGCCGATAGTTAAGGCCATGAGAACAAGATTAAATGAAACAAGCATTCTCGTGTATGCGTTTCAACTGGGGTTCGCTGTATTCAGCGGCATAATCTCAATGTTACGGTTGTTTATTTCTAAGGTTGATGTTTTCATTAGCTGTGTGAGTGTGCGGTTGATTTCAGCTGCGTCAGAAGCACGCGTTTATCGCTCCTAACATTTGTGAATAGAGAGGATATTCTGGACTTTGCAAATACAGTCAAAGCTGTAAACACACACAGACATCTTCACTGTTGTGTTCTGAATAAACGCCTCTGATTGGCCGTTGTGTTCACGCGCTCAACAAACACATCTGTGATTGGCTACAGTGATCAGCGCTGCAGAAACACACTGTAAATAGAAAGCGTTGATGCTCTTCACAGACACACAAACACACACAGGATCGTCTGAAAGCAGCGTCTGTCAGCGGGAACCCAACCGAGCCGCTGCTGCAGAACGACTGCTACCATTACACTTTAACACTGAAACACAGCTTTCACTATATTAGTGAGGACACTTGTGAATAGTGAGGACATTTGTGAATAGTGAGGACCGTTTGGACTTTGCAAATACAGTCAAAGCTGTAAACACACACAGACATCTTCACTGTTGTGTTGTTCTTGATGTTTCTCTCTTCTTGTGTTCAGGGGCCTGTGATCTCACACTGGATCCAAACACAGCAAACACTCGACTCATGCTGTCTGATGAGAACAGGAAGATCACACGTGTGAAAGATCTTCAGCCGTATCCTGATCATCCGGAGAGATTTGATGATGCTCCTCAGGTTCTGTGTGTAGAGAGGCTGACTGGACGCTGTTACTGGGAGGCTGAATGGAGCGGAGATAAGGCTGCTATATCAGTGTCATATAAAGGAATCAACAGGAAAGGAGGATGGAGAGACTGTGAGTTTGGATTCAATGACAAATCCTGGAGTCTGTGGTGCTCTGATAACAGATTCACTGTCCGTCACAATAATAACTACACTGATATACCTGCTGTCCGTTCATCCTCTAATAGAGCAGGAGTGTATCTGGACGTGTCGGCCGGCTCTCTGTCCTTCTACAGCGTCTCTGACACACACACACTCACACACTTACACACACTCACACACTTACACACATTCAACACCACATTCACTGAACCTCTCTGTGCTGGGTTTAAGGTTTATAATAATTCCTCAGTGTCTCTGTGTGATATTAAACGATAGAGAGACTCTCTGTAAATCCTCTTTCTGATGTTCACATGCACACAAACTCATCAAATCTCACATAGTTACATTTGTATTCATTTATTTGTAATCAGTTTGTCATTGTCCTCCAGAAGTTATAAATCTAGATCAGACACACTGTTCTGAATCTTTAATAAACA